TACAAGGAGGGCTCCCTGAGTTAAGCCAGTCTCTTTTATCCCCTGACTGACACAAGTAATGAGCAGCTCACACAGAATGGGTTGCCCTTGGGTGCATTCCATAGACAAGTGTGCACTTTCGGCACTTAATTTCAAACTAACATTTGGAGATTGACTACAAACCCATCTAAAAGTCATTATAGACTCAACTCCAGTCTGACAATCTCTAACAATTACCCAGGAGGCTATGTGAAGACTCAAATTATCCTGAAGAAACTGTCTTCCATAGCAGACTCAGCAAGCACTCCAGCTAAGCAGAAGCTTCCCAGGAGGACAGCCATCTCTCTCTGAGCTGGACTCCCGTTTATGTCTTGGAAGCAAGGAAAATTTCTAGATACAGTGCCACACATGGGCTCATGGAGCTTGTCCCTGTGACATTCTATAGGGAGGAAATAGCTGGTGGTTTGCTTTGCCATGCAATGATCCAAAGCTCCTACTGGGTTCATCAGGGAAAAGCCAGGCCGACCCTGCAAGGCCCTGCCAGTCTATATCCTTCCAAAAGCCAGTCTCTGTTGCCACTCATGACCTTTCCTCAGAGTCACCTTTATCAGCACCCTCTTCTTTTACAGAGAAGACAAGCAAGATGATCATTCAGTCTGCAGCTCCTCAATTCTTTCCCCCTAAGCTACAGCAATAAGCTGTGTACCCTCATACTGTTCACTCCCTTCCCTTTGAGAAAGCTGTGGCACACTGACTCATTGGAACTCATAATAAATGACTATGATTACTTTACATACAAAAGAAATGCTTAACACTGTGTATTCATCCATGTGTTTCAGGAAAATTATTTTCAGAACTGCTGCTCTCTTTCAACTGTCCATCTTCTGAAATTCTTTAGAAAGAATAAACTGACCACAGCACAGCCCCGCCAGATGATTAGACTTTTTCCATTGGCAGAACCCTGAGGTTCTGCCCCTTGGTGCATGGTGCATTTAAAATGCAAAAACTGTTTGAAAGAAGTTTCCTATACTAACTTCTCAGCTGCTTGTTATGATTATTCAAGGCTCTTGACAAAAAAAGTAGAGTGCTAGGCATGGTGGCACACACCAGCAGTTGGGAGGCTGAGGCAGGAGGAGGATCATTGTGAATTCGAGACCATCCTGGGCTACAAAGTGAGCTCAAGGCTAGCCTAAACTGCATAGAAGACCTTGTATCAAAAACACAAAACAAAACAAAACAAAACAAAAACTAGACAAGAAACAAAAAGCAAAGGTTGGGGTTGCTATTTCTATGCTCTTACAATTCTGCTCTATAAAAAGAACAAATAACAGATGGCTGATACTGACAAAAGATCTACAAGGTGCTATACATGGTTTCAGGGTAAATCCTAAGGGGATTTGACTGACTTTGTCAGATACAAAAGTTACATTTTTACTTATATAGGTCTTGCTTTAACTTGGTTTTAACCATCCAGCAGAAAAGTATAACCGCAGGTATAAAAAGTAAAGCCATATTAATATGTTGAGCTGTAAAAGGCTCAAGTCAACAACTTCAGACAATTGCCAGTTCTGCTGATAACTCACTACTATTTTGGACTATTGGACTATATTGGGTTATTTTTCTGAATTCAGTTACCTACAATATTTGAACTGGCATCAAGTATGAAAAGGTCCTTTAAAGACTTCTCCAAATATAGTTTCTCTAACAACAATGGAATACCCATCTCTGACAAAAAAAAAAGGAGGAAATAAATAAAGGACCATTTCGTAGTGAAAAAATTGCTTGTGTGTGTGTGTGTGTGTGTGTGTGTGTGTGTGTGTGTGTACAAAATAGTTAGAATAGATATATAGCTACCTTCTCTTAGTTCAATGAGAAGAAAGGTTTGTACTAATACTGTTTAGACAAGATATGTCGACATCTTGTCCTCTGAATAACTACTACAGAGAAAACAATATGCAATGTATTAATTATTGTAACTGTCCTGCTAACCTGTTTTGAAACTGTTTCATTGCTATTTTTTCTCATTAAAATGAATTTAAAAAATTAAAAAGAACAGATAAAATAGTGCTTATTGTTTGTAACAGACTGCATTGCCCAACGTTGGCCTGGTTAGAAACACAGCCTCAGAGGTCAGGTACCCTTGCACTAAGCCCTGCTTTTTAAGGCTTGGATGGTATAATAAACCTTACTCAAGTGGTTGGAAGTCTAGACTCTGAAGTGAAAGTCTGAGTTCAAATCCTAGTTCCACCACTTATTAACTATTGTGAACTTGTTCAGCATATTGCCTAAGATTCCTTGATTTTCCAATCTCTAAAATGGATACAGTACTCGTGGCTACCTCATAGCTATGTTATAGACTTGAACAAATTAATATTTCCAAGTGATTTGCTCAGGATCTGGCACACAACAGATCCTATAGAAGCATAAATATCATTTTTAAGGATTACTTATGTATAGCAGGCAACTGTGCTTTTCAATAGGTAGATTTATCATTTTGGCAAAATGATATAAGTAATATACACAAATTGAAATTCAGTCCCACGGGAGGCAGAGTCTTGAGTTGAGTTGTAGTTTTGGAATTTGTCATCCAGTTAAGGTGCTCTGACTATCTGAGAAAATTCTGTCTTTCAGTGGAAAGGTAAGGAAGAGGCTAGGAAATCTTAATGTTGTTTTGTATCAAAGCTATCTTGCTTAACTCAGAAGAAAACAAGTTGCAATGGAGCTCAGCAGGGGAATGAGGCAAAAAGCCTCTCATCAGTGAGTGACTTGGACATCACTGATTAGCATGTGCAAGGTAACCCCTATCCTACTCCTGCCATCTTTTTTTAAAAGTTCCCAAGTAATGTGTCCATTTTAAAGCTATTTCAGGGCCAGCCGGATAGCTCAGCAGACTGAAGCGCCTGCTTAGGCAGGGGCAGGGACTGGGATTCGATCCCCAGTGTGCCATGCTGGTTCTACCCCTAGGGCAACTGAGACTGGGCTTGGTGGCCCATGCCTGTAATCCCAGCATTTGGGAGGCTGAAACCAGATAGATCACTATGAGTCTGATCGGTGCAGTGAGACCCCATAGACCCTGTACCAAATACATTCAAAAAATTTAAAAATAAAGGCATTTCAAACTAAAAGTATTTTCTCCTAAGCCAACCAGATTTATTTATCTTCAAAGTTTATAACATTCAGTTTATCTTGCTGTTCAATGGCTTCCTCTGTTGAGCACTTTAATTCTCATGAGCAAAGCAGAGGGCAAAGTCCAAAGAAATGTTTACAGCAGCACTGGGAAGCTGTACCCCCTGGGCTGCAGATGCTTTCCCTGCAGAACTGGAGATCTAAGATAAAGGCAAGAAGGAATGGGACAGTATCTCTACTATCTATTGCAGCGAGAAGACAACTGGCCACAGTCTTCATTTGATGAGAGGATTGCAAATTTATCATAGAAAAGAAAGCCACGAATCTTCAGCTCCCTCTTGGAAAAAAATATGCAGGGCCAAATCCAGGACTTTATACATTATTCTCTTTTTTTATGGCCCATCCTGAGCACATGGTAGGCCAGTTTCTAGCATCATGACTATCTCTAGCTGTGGGAATCCACACAGGAAAATGTGATTTCTTGATTGTTCCTCAAAAATATGAAGGGATTCAACATTTCCGTTTTTGCTGTGATAGACCTGATATAACATGGCATGCTATAAAGCCACCCCAGGCCCTTGAGGTTGCCAGTGTTTTGGTCCATTTGGGAAGAATTTACTCGACAGTCTTCTTTCTCCTTGGCAACATGTGAAGAGAAAGACAGTGCAGTGTTCACACAATTCACAATGTTCTTATGCAGCTCACAGATACTAAGCTACTGAAGGAGGGTATTCACGCTATGCTCACTGATTGTCTTCAAACAACATTCAACCGCATCTGGAAGGTGGACACGGAAAGGGAGGCTGTATCACAGGGGCTCCCAACCAGGAGTGACTTTTCCCCCACGTTCACCCTCACAGAAATTTGGAAGTGTCTGAATATATTTTTCGATGTTACAAATGGGCAGAGAGGATGTGTGATGCTACTGACATCCAGAGGGTAGAGATCAGGATGCAGCAAAACATCCTGTAAGACATGAAAAAGTACTATCTGGTTGGAAATGTCAACAATGACAAGACTTAGAAACCCTGCAACTGTATCTGCCCTGGATCAGCTACCTCTGCCACAACAAATCATCTGAATGCTTCTGCATTGTCTTCAAGTGACAGGGAGGGCAAACAAATAGCTGCAGGGGTACTTACCCTTCTTCCTCTGGAGCTAGGACTGCCTTGTGTCCCCTTCTGTCCAGCTGTGCCCTAGAAACACAGAAGTTCCCCTGAGATCATCAGCTAAAAGACTCTAGGTAAATTAGAGAAGCACTTGTACATGACATAATGCTATTAAAACAGCAGAATGAGGGCTGAAGAGATGGCTCAATGGTCTAAAGCACCTACTTGGAACAAGCTTGGCAAAGCACAGGGACCACAGTTCGATCCCCCAGCACCACATGCCAGCCAGCTGCGCCCCCTGGTGGGCTGAGCTGCCCCCCCCACACAATAAATGTTAAAAAAAAATAATAAAACAGCAGAATGAAAGTGCCATGCTAGAACCACTCTTTATATTAGCACTTTGGCCACCATGCATCAGAGAAAACAAGGCATTGCAGCACATACGGTGCTCCACACAATAGTAATTCAAGAAGCAATTTTTCTCATACAAGTGAAGCATATTATAGACATAACTTCTTTGCAGATATTAAATATTTCTCAAACATGGTGCTTCTTCAGTTACAAAAGGTTATATAATTCACTAACTATACCTAGCTCATTATGGAATTAATCAACTTATATAGGTAAAGTAGGTATGATTACTTGTCTTCCTTGTTCTCCTTTGGAGCCCTTTTGTCCCTTCTCATTGCCGTTTTGTCCTGGATTACCCTAGAAGAAAATGTTTAAAGTATTTTAGAATCCAGAAATAGCTCCTAAACTAGAAGTATTTTAGAATCCAGAAATAGCTTCTTTTGCAAAATGATACAATGTTCAGGTACCAATGTGATTAAGCTATGGGATGAAAAGTAGGAGAAAATACTCCAATTTGAAACTCAGGATTTTTGAAAAAGTTGAAGCAATACTTTATCAAGTTTGAAGGAGATTTGGTGACGCATGAAGATTTCTCAGAGGGTTTGCCACGTGGTAACTTTCCCTAGAGAGCAGTTTTGGAAATGTATTAGTCCAACCATTGCTAGACCCTTCCCTTACAGATACAATGGCATTTCTATAATGGAGTCAACAAGTGAGGAAGCTCTAGGTTTTAAAGATTAGAAGTCCAACAAACAAAATTGTGGAAAATTTTCCTCAAAGAAACTTCAAAGCCTCAACACGCCTTAATGAGTCCTAAGATGCAAGTGTAACATCCAGTCCTCAGTCTTTAAAGGAAATCAGCCCAGCCAGATCAAACACAGACATTTTTCCCTACAATGCCTTGGTTAGCATTCACTACCCCACCCCACTCCCAAGCTGACCACTTGCCTACAGATTAGCAGGAGGCATAAAGGGGGATGCAAAGGGAGAGCAGTGGTAACTTACGGGATCCCCCCGGAAGCCTTTTTCTCCATCTTCCCCAGGGGGACCTCTGGAACCTGGGTAGCCCTGAAAAAAATAAAATGAGTTTCTATGTTAGCCTGCAAGAGGCTCTTGTAATGGTGTTCAATGTCAAGTGCTGTGTGTGTGTGTGTTGGCATGCATGTGCACATTTATGTAGAACATAAATAATCAGATAAAATGCTCCACATTTTTTTTTAATCTCAGGCAGACTCCCTTAGACTTCTCAAGTTTAATCTTAAGCAGATGGTCAGGATGTTGGATATGAGGGTGAGAAACTGGAAAATGTCTCTGGTCTAGTGTACAGTAGCTGACTAGGACTTCCTGCAGTGACTAAATGGCTCTACATCGACATTGTCCATTAGGAGAGCTACAGCAACCATAAAGAGGCCACTGAGCACTTGAAATGTGGTTAATGCAACAGAAGACTGGAATTCTTTAATTCACTTAAATTTAAATAATCCCACCTGGCTGGTGGCTACTGTACGGAGCATCCTTGCCAGTGTAACAAATTCTGGTGTCTATAATTTAATTTCTTCAAGAATCCTCTACAGGATTGTTCCATAGTCACCTCAATCCAACTGTTCCCCACTGAGCCAACCCAAGCCAGGACCCTGGGCGGCAATTTGACTGACTCCATTTCCCTCTGGCCCCATTAGCCTGATGTGGAGATCTCACAGCCCACAGCCAGCCTGGGGTGAGCCTAAAGAGTCTTCGAGGGTAGACAATCCAGGGAGACACTCCCTTTGCATGACCCAGAGAGCAAGAGCCTCTGTAGCACCCAGACAGCCTATGATCCCCACCCTGGCAGCATCCCTGCGCTCTCTCCTGCCCAGTCTCATGCCATTGCTCTGTTGGAAGGCTTCACTCTTCTTCACCTCAATCACAAAATCTCTCATCCTTCCTTGCGTCCATGTCATCTCCAAACTCTCCCTACTGCTGCCACGTAATCGCTCTGAGATGCAAGTGTCATTACTAAATCTGTCAAAGGCTCCCATGACCTGATGGATAAAAACCAAACTCTTCCACACAGCTCCCTGTTCTGCTCTGATCTCTTCCCACCGCCTCCTGAACCTCATTGCCCTCTTCCCGTACCCCTGTTCTCCTTCAGCAGAACAATTCCTGGAGCCCTGTGTCTGCGCACAGCTCCCTCTGCCTACAGCTTTGCTCTGCTAATTGCTGCTCATTCAGCTCAAGGATCACTGTCCTAGGAAGACATCCCAGACACTGTCCTCCCCTAGGCAGAGGTAGCTGACCCCTGTGACTCTCATGTAGTCTTCTGACCATCCTATTGATAAATCTTCAATCTATCTCCCTAACTGCATTGTGGGACCTGGAGAACTCGGCCTGTGCAGTCCATCTCTCCTCCTCTGTCATATAACTCGGTATCTAGCGTATGACAGATCCTGAAGAGTATCTGTTAAATAAGTCAATCAGGATGTAAAAGTAGCCCTACTTGCAATCAGATAGATGCATATTAAAGCATATTGAGACGCATTTATAATTTAAAAAGTCTCCATGATTTGCTACACCAGTACAACCAAAATTACTTCCTTTGGCTTTTAATTTTTTCCCCAATGCGATAAAGACAACACAGAGGCTAAAGCAATCACCTGCAGACTTGTGAAAAACGTGATGACGGAAGGACCTGGCATGGTTTGAATTTTCCTAGCTGGAAATTCTTGAAAATTACATAGCTACCAACTAACCCAAACTAGAAATATGACATCTATTCCCTGGCAATAGGTCTTCATTACGTGATTAAGGCAACTGTCAGTTTATCCCCAGTAACCACGTACACACAAGTAAGATTGTCTCCCTCATCAAATTCTCCTTTGCCGAAGTGTTACCTGAGACCCTGGATCACCCTTTTCTCCTTTCTTCCCAGGAAATCCATGTAATCCCTAAAAGAAGATAAGAAAATTCCCATCTAAAAATACAATCAACCTCATGATGACTTATAACTTAAAAAAAAAAAATGGCTTACCTCCTCCCCATCGATTCCATCCACCCCGCTGTCGCCTGCTTCTCCCTGAGAGGTGACAGACAGCCATCAGCGAAGAAAGGTCTCTGCTGTGCACTTATTGAGAAACTAATCCCAGTATGAAATTAAAATTGATGGAGAAGAAACTACAATACCTTATATCCTGAAAATCCTTTGGCTCCCTGCAAAAGATGAAATGCCTGTCATTAATGTACCAAGGACAGAGTGTTGATCTGCAGGCTGCAGCAGGAGGAAGCTGCCTCCCTCAAGAAACTGACTGTGTATCTCTGTCTGGCTATCCATCTGCAAAGGAGTTATAGACGGGATTTGATCAATGCTCGAGACTCCTTGAGATTATTAAGAAGCAGAACTGATATGCAGGCAACAGAACTAATAGATGTAACTGGAGAAAGAGAAGGGTTATACAAGAGAAAGCGAGGGAGGGAGGAATGAGAGGAGATGCTCATGGATATCAAAGCAATATTTTCTGTGTTACCTTTTGACCCCTCTGTCCTGAGCATCCCACGGTCCCTCTGTATCCTTCGGGCCCAGTGTCTCCTCTTCTTCCCTAAGGCAAGAGATCCAAATACATACTTAAAGTGAATCTTTCGTCAGAAGCTGCCAGGTTTGCTTTTAGAGCACTGAGTGACACCAAATAAGAATGCCAGGCTTTAGGCCAAGCATAGCCTTCTGGAAGCTTGTTCATTTAAATCTCTCTCTCCCTCCATTATATATTTTCCCAGCCAAACTCCAGGACTTCCTTACAGACCTAAGGTCACAAGTCATTGCAAGGTGGGCTCAGGTACCCCACTCTCTCATCAGACAGTGCAGCCAGTGGGTTCAGAAGTCATTTCTTTTTCTAGCTACATTCCCAGGAGTCCCTATGTTGGTCCCGACAAGATGTCATTGCTCAGGTAACTGATGCTGTGTTATGAAAGTCAGTGCTGCAGGCCCAGAACCAAGCCTGTGCCGAGGGCCTGGAGCTGAGCAGAGACAGCCGATGGAACAAGGGCACAAGGGCAGCAGCACCAGTCCTGATGGGGAGGGACACCCGATTAGAACACCCACAGTCAGATCAGCCACACTCACTTCCTCAGGGTGGGCAATGTAAGTGACTCTAACCAGCCTTGCTCCTCCAAAGAAGTGCCTAAATACAGGTAAGTGCTAGAGTAAAATGAATTTCTAGAGAAGAAACACATGCTGCTTAGGGACACACACCCCAGCAGTCTTGTCCCCACCATGTTGCAAGCTTGTGCTGGCTCAAGTCTGGGAGCATGCCAGATGCTCACAGTTAGCAGCATGAGGAAGTCATGCTGCAATTAGGAATGTGCTTGATTCTTTCCTTCCTAGGGAGACAGGTAAGTTACTTTCCTTTTCCCTGCTTTGTTAAATTTTGAACATTATTTTCTGTCTTTCTCAAGGCCACATATTGTCACGCATACCTAAGCCTTACAGCTTCCAATTGCCTGGCCTTTTGAGCAGCCTTGGGGCCTCGGCCAGGCAGATGGGTAACACTGTTCTCAGCACCCAAAATGGTCCCATGTGGGCTTGGCCCTCTCTTGCAGGTACCAGGTAAGTGAGTTGTGCAAACTAGGTCACCTTTAAGGTCCTGGATAAATTTGTAAGCACTTAGAGATGAGGAAACTAAGGTCAAGAAGTTAAGTCTCTTATTCAAAATCTCATATCTAGGTCAACCCATAGTGGTCTAATTCCAGAACCTGGCTTCTACATTTTATAAACTTGCTGACCGTATGAGGATCTGGCCTTGATGCCACAGGATAGATGTCTAGTCAGGGAGCTTCCTGAAATTACCCCAGCCTGAATAGTGCCAAGCAAGTGGCTCCAGTCCTCCAAATTCTACTCATAATTTGGTTGCGAACTAAGGGAGAGTTCTGGTTTTAGGATCAAGGATTGCAATCTCCAAACCTCTGTGCAGTAACTTGTGGTAACCTGTAGTAACAAAGAGTCATACCTAGGGGATGCCTTGCCCACTGCAGGGATACGGCCTGCTACTAAACACTGGGTTTCAGTCTAAAGACAGCTGCCTAGCAGGAAACCTGTGGCATCCTGCTTGGGAGAGAGAGGATACCCAGCTTCTTACCCCTGACACACACATGCCAGACATTGTATGTGAACCTGCGCCTCCCACACACCCAACTTACATTTACTGAAGGCCTCAATTCAGACAAGAAAAAAGGAGAACAAAAGCAATGCATTTTCTTATAACCTTATAAAAATAAATGTATAGACAGAACCCCATCTGCCAGTATTGTATGAATATATAT